CAGGCAGGCAGGCAGGCAGGCAGGCAGGCAGGCAGGCAGGCAGGCTGGCCAGTGCCAAAGTTGAGAAATAATCATTTCTCCTTTTTCCTGGCACACTGGAAATGAGGAAATAAGCCCTTCCAAGCCATGTTGACCTAACCAACCCTTGACCCATCTCAGAAAATTCAGCCGGGTGGAAGCTGGCTACTGCTGGGACAGGAGATCCCGGGGAAACCCAACCGACTTTGAGGCTTACGCTAGAGAAGAAGCCGGAATGCGGAATGAACTTGGGGTTGTCCTTACTACAACCGGTTAAAATAACCGCGATTCGCCTGAGCCGTGCTCAGCCTTTCTGTTCAGCCGGGAGGCGAAGCTGGAGGCAGATTGGCAAGAAGTCACTCCCGAAGCATCTTTCCAACCCCTTCCCTGGATCTGCACGCACACCAGCCTTGGGGAGCATCAACACTTCCTCCTCTCCCCATTGGCTGCCTGGTTGCTGAGGCAACCGTGATGCAGGCTGGAAGGCTGACTTGTTTATTCCCATTTTGCTACGGTTCTGGCAGAGCGCGGCCGAGGTCCGCCTGCGTTGAGGCTAAACGGCTGGGCCTCTTCCTCGCCGTGATCCGGAGCCTTCGGGAACAGGAGCTGGGTCCTCGAATCACCCCGGTTCTTTCCTGCCTTGCAAAAGGGGTTTCTCTCCCCCAGCCTCCTTCTTGACGCGCTCTGGATGTTCTTGCAGATGTTGGGGGGGCGAACGTCCTTTATTGCAGCAGGAGAGGTGGAATTGGGGCTGGGCTTCCGCAGCGCTGCTAAAGAGGAATAGCCAGAGGTCAAGACGAGCAGCGTTAAGTAACTCGCCAGTGGAATAAAGGAAAGGAGAATCCAGTTTCAGCCACGGTGTCGAGCTATCTGGAGGGTCTTTGGCACTCTTGTTATTTATTTATGTTTATTAAGGATTTTTCACAGAGTCAAGGGGAAGGGAAGGGAAGGGAAGGGAAGGGAAGGGAAGGGAAGGGAAGGGAAGGGAAGGGATGCAAGAAATGAAAAAGAGAAGAAAAAACAGTAAAGAAATATGACTTCTGACCGTCTCTTCAACAGATAATTACAATCTTATTGTCTTTCCTTCCTCCTAGATATTATATAATTCCCTTCAGCCCTTCATTTAATCTTCATCTTTCTTAATCTTCAGACTCATAAATCATCATATCATTTCTTTCTTCTTTCAGCAAAAAATTGGTTTTCGGCACTCTTTTGCCAAATTGGTCAGTGCCCTCAATTTGTACCACACATGCAACCCTAAATCTGGCCAACATGGTGCCATAGAAGCCCCATTCCTTTCTATATACAAGGCATATGCAATACTCCTAAAAAACAGGGCAGAGCTTTGATTGCACGTTCACAGCTGCCATCTCGACTTTTTTGACTCCCTCCCCCTTACACACGCCCCCGAACTTGAGTAAACCAGTGGTTGCTTTTCATATAACGGGCTCTGCACAAGCAAATCAGCCCAGTTAGGGATTCCTGTAATCACCTGATTCACACAGCCTGTCCAAGCTATCTTCCAGCCCTTGGTACTGATTAAAGGATCTAAAGATCGCACATTGATCTCAGATCAATCTGGGCAGAACGTTGGGTTGGAGCAAGCTTGTTGGCCACACGAGAAAGATTGTTTACAGCAGATGCTGAGAATCACAAGGAACTGATCCTTGCCATGAGATATGTGACTATCATGTGCCTGGACTGAAGACTGCTATCGTGTCCCACAAAAGGAAGAAATGGCCATTCCACTAAGCAAACATCAAATGGAAACACCAAAACAGGCTCTGAAGGCCCATGAAGAGAGATCCTCGTGGTGGACAATTTTTTGTCTGTGTGTCTGCCTCCCTCTCAGATGAAAATCCCTGCGTTCTCATCCTTCCAAGCGGCAACCTGACTGAACCTACCTTGTCCCTGCCTAGCGATGGCATCTTTATGGCCATCAGAAGGAGCATTAGATATATGTTCCTCCTCCCTATTTGGTGAGGATA